CCTGGGCCCTTCCTCTGGGCCTGTGGCATGAGCCCCAACGGTTCTAGGGGAGGAAGTGGGCAAACCCTGCCCGTGCCTTTGAAAGCTGCCGGCAAGTAGAGGAGACCTCCCTTCCTTTCAGCTAGACTACAGGCCTGTCTCAAGAGAGGGGGAGGGGCTCGTGCCCCTGTGTCGAGCCGGGTTCCAAAGCTGCAGCCACCCAGATGTGCAGGACAGATGCAGATGGTACTTCCTGCCCATCCTTCGGGCCTTTGAGAAATGAAGTGTCTGCGTGATGATTAAGCACTCTGTGAGCCCAAATTAGAAATTTCATTCTTGTCGTTCTCCAGCTCAACACTAAGCTGCTCATACAGATGCCTGCACGCCTCAGTGCAGGAGACCAGCTTTTATTACCCACTCGATCTCACCAGAGAAGGCAAGAATCCTGGCAAGATGCCCATCTGTTTGCTGCCCTGCCCTGACCCTGTCTACAGTCTGAATGTGACTGCAAGGAACTCCCATGCTGTGGGGATTTGATAGAATACCTAACTGTTCTTCTTTCTTACATCTGCATGTAAAACGAAGTGTCCAGAACCAAAGGATTCTTCCATGTGGCACGGCACTTGGAATGCGCCCGGAGAAACCAAGTTTTTTTCTTAGGGCAAGAACTTGCCTCGATCACCATGATTCCTCACTTGAAATCTTGCCTTCTTTGCTAATACTTTCTGTTTCCCTCTTGTTTTTAGCTCAAAACACTGGAATTTCAACTTTGTATAGGAATTCCTATGGTGCGCCCGCTGAAGACATCAAACATAACCAGGTAAAGGAGACCCACACATTTGTGTTCATTTTCCCCTTCAACTTGTGTGAAATATCCTGGAATTGGAAAAAATAAATTAGCTTCTACATAACATACGTAAAGGACTGGAAAAAAAGAAAATAACATTCTCTGCTGCTCTCCACTCACATTCAACATAGTGTGCGTGGGGTGGCGGCAGTCATCAGAACGGCCTCAGATTTGAAAACAGTCTTTGATTTCACTACAACCACTCGCTTCATTTGGTGGTAGCAAGTTCTCTACTATGATCCAAAATGAAAAGCCTCCAATACACTACTGGAAGATTCTGGTTACTAGATAATATTGTGTGATTACTAGACAGGGATTCGGTAGTTCCCATAACCCAGGCAGTTCTCATTTGGAAGAAAGCATTCGTTATACATGATAGTTACCAATAAAATAGAGACAAGTTCAAGAATGAACAACTAAATGGGGTGCATTGAGGAGTGCCTTGCTAATCAGTCTAGTTGGGGGACCGGCAGCATCAGTGCCCCATGGGAGCTTTTTGGAAGAGATTCTTCTCAGACCCCTACCCCTAATCCATCTGATGCAACAAATGCATCAGAGTTGCATTTCATCTAGACATTTAGGTGATTCGTGTACACGTGTTCAAGTTTGAGGAATGCTAAGCAGTAACTCCTTCAAGAACTGGGCTGTGTGTGTGTGTGTGTGTGTGTGTGTGTGTGTGTGTGTCTTCTTTGGCAAACGTTCGCGGAAGGCTCTTTTTTTTTTTTTCTCTGTGGTTTTGTGGGAACTGTAAAAGCAAAAGACACGGCCTCTGCTCCTTCACTGAATGATAACGTCATACGTTTGTCCCCTAGAGGGGCCACTGCAGAAAGAAACCCATTCCTCCTAACTGTTGGCTACGAATAACCTTTGCCAGAACTTGCTTCTGCGGATGCTCTAGATTCCTGCCCTAAGTCAGGAAAGTTGGGCCGAGAGATACATCTGAAACCTGTTGGTTTGATCACAATAACCAGATGGCAGTAAACATGGGGGGAAATGGGCTGTTTTTGAACATTTCTCAATACCTGGTAGGGCAGCATCTTTGTAAAGGAAAGGGACCCACTCCTAGCGGATAGAATATCTTGAGCAAGACCATTTCCAAGAGAAGAAGGAGGAGGCCACGGGAAGTATCTCCTCGACCTTGAATTACCTTTTTCTCTAATCACTCATCACCGGGTGAAATGGTGATGGGTAGAGGAGTTATCTCCTTGCTCTGAACGTTCCAGGCCATGCACCACAGCTCCTCTGGAAGACATCTGGTGTTTTTGGCAACCCCCTGGTGAATGCCCAGGCCCCACAGCCTGCCTGACACGTTGCTAACATCTACTTCACCTCCCTCAGTTCTGCTCTTTGCTAAAAGCCAAGAGGTCAATGAATAAATAAGTGCGTGAGCTCTAGACAAGTAATCACCAGAGGGGTGGCCACCAGCTATCCACATATCAACATGCCTGCCCGAACACAAAGGAAAATGGAAACAAAATGTATTGGAAATGACAACTTCAGTTATGGATACCAACTTTTATCTTTTAGCAAATACCAGGTACAATGAGAACTATCTATAGCTCTTGCTGATACTGGTCAGCATGTGATAGGACCCTGACTTTGCATCCCAGAGTATAGGAATAGTCTTCAGTCTCCGTAGGTTAAGAGAAGCTCATCACAAGAATTGGCTTATTCTATACCAGCCTTTCTCTCCCTGGATTCCACTATCGTTGGCCGTGAAGAAATGCCCTGGTGTGGCCCAGAGGTCCTTGGCATCTCACAGGGAGGCTGCCATAGTTTCCTTAGGACTGTTTGCAATCTAGATTTACAGGATGGTCCCCAGTGGCTCCGAGGGGCACATTCTGGGATTGTTCATGGTCCTCATTTATGTCTCTAACCAACTGGTTGCAGACATCATTTTAACAGTTAACTGCCTAAACTCTCCAAAAATCCTACTAAGCTTCTACTAGTTTATCCCCTACTTATAAAGAAAACGTACTTAACTGTATATATCTAGCAAGAGAATTTTGTGTTCATAAGCTAGAGATAGAGGGGTTTGGTGTTTTGATGGCAACCATCAAATTATTACATCAAAACAGCATCTTGAGGTCCTGGTTGGTGTCCCCAGTTCCACCGCCAAGTGGGCAGAGCAGGTAAAGTTGTCCCCAGAGATGAAGAAATCAAGATTCAGGGAGGATAAGGGTTTGCTTTTGGTCGCCCAGCTCAGAAAAGGCGAAGGCTCCAACCTGGCTCTTCTGCCTTCTCGTCCCATCTGCCCTCCTCTATGCTGGTGGCTCTCAAGTTTGAGCACAAATCAGAATGCCCTGGATGACGGCTAAACACAGATCCCTGGCCCCCAGCCCCAGAGTTACTGACTCGGTAGGTAATTTACCTCTCTAACAAGCTTCCAGGTGATGTTGATGCTGCTGGTCTTGGGACCGGACTTTGAGAACCATGACTCCTTACCATGTGACCTTTTTCATTGTATATTAACACCCTGAGTCTTCAGCTTTCGCCCTGTGGTGAAGTTTGAAGATCTGTACTGGGCAGCTATTTTCCTTGTATTAGCAATCAATCCAGTTTGTAGGCAGACCCAGTGAGGACTAAACACAGTTTTCTCTCATCATGCTAACAGAGTGGGGGGGTAGAGAAGTGGCACCGTCCTTCATAATTTAAACTAAACATCCTCCCACTGGGGAAGAAGTTCAACAACAATGGCTTTATGGGAGTAGGAGCCACAGGACAAAATGCCAAGCACATGGACCCCAGCCAGTATCCCTACATGAGCCGGCTGGTTGCACCCCCCACCCCAAAAAGGATGCTGCCTTAAGGCAAAAGCAGGCAACAGCCTCAGGCTCCTTGGATGTACCAGGGCTTCTCTGAACCACAGCAGACACACAAGTCCAGAATACACCACTGCTATACATGAGCCTCGTTCTACCTCCTTCATAGAAGTCTGCTTTATGCAAACAGTGCAACATAAAAAAATGCATTTATTTTTAGCTCCTCTTGCGGGAGGGCTTATATTTGAGAGCACTTTGTCTAATTTTGAATACTGTCAGATAATCCCTTAGAGTAAATCATAAAGTACAGTCAACATTCCTCCCCCTGCGAATGTACATCCACCGTCGACATCTGCACCACGAGGCCAGTGAGCAAATTTGATCCCTCCAAACACAGCATAGCCACCCGTCACCCATCCTAGAGAGTCCATTCACACACACTCTCAGAACTGCAGGACTAAACCTTAGAAGGGGTTGACATGAGACTTATGACCAATACAGATGAAATGAAAAAGGCAATTCCTCAAGGTAAGAGACTAAAATAAACGTGTACACAACCTAAAGACGTCCACCAACCAGAGAGAACATGGTGGCAGTAAGAAATTTGAAACAGGTCATGCAAAGGCCTGAAAGAAGCAGCCGCTGTGGAGGAGAGCCGTGAGCCTGTGAGTGGTCGCCCCCACAGACCTCCCTATCCACGGCCACTGAGCCCAGCGCAAAGAAGTGAGAGCTCTCCTAGGGTTCCTTTGTCCACCGGCCTCCCTTCTTATTATAGAGCCTGGAGTCAACTCAGTGAGGCTGGCCCTCTGAGGATCGGCCACTTGGGCTCCACTGAAACTGTGTTCGTGTGGTGGAGAAAATGTGGACTTCAGAGTCAGCCAGACTCGGGTTCAAATCCCAGTCTCACAACACCACTAGCCATGATAATCCTGGACGAGTTTCTTAACTTCTCTGAGCTTCAGTGTCTTCATCTATAAAGGGGGAATTGGATGGATGGATGGATGGACGGACGGACGGACGGACGGACGGACGGATGGATGGATGGATAGGAAAATAGAGAAAAGAGGGAGGAAGGGAAGGAGAGATGGTTAAAGGTTAAACAAAGAGGAATTTGTTAAATGTTGGACATAGTGCCCACTGACATAGAAACACAGTAAATTCTAGCTCCCTCCCCATGTGATTTTTCTAAACCACCCAGCTCCAACCCTCTGTATGCTCGATGCTTAGGTCGCAGCACAGTGTTGGAGTGCAGAAGTTCAGCATAGCACCCAGCTCTGCAAAGAACAGCACAGGGCACCTCAGCTTAGCCAAGTAATTTCGTATACCTGGTCTTGTTTAATTACAGATGCTGAAGATTAATTCCAAATGTCCCTCCCGTGGCCAGGCTCTTAGGCTAACAGATCTTTCACAGGTAGCCCAACACCTCAGTCATCAGCCACCACTAACTGGAAGCGTGGGACGAGTGGATGGCAGCTATGATGAAGTTGACCACTTCTTTGAAGAACAGGTCAATTACTAGTGTAAATCAATTACATGTAAAAGAGGGAGTTTCACTTTAGAGAAGAATTATGTGCAAGTCATTAGAAGCATTCATTTACACACAACGTGCTAATTACAAATCATTATCTATTGCTAGGACCAATTTCTATAGGACGTTTCCATGCCGAGCCTTAGTTAAATTAATAGGGAATTACTGAATCTGCTTGGAGGTGATCAAATCGTGTTTCTTTAAAAGCGTTCCATCATTCACACCAGACCTCTTCCCCAGTTATTGCCGTCAGCAGAGTTTCATGCATGATTGTACGCACTAGCTCTGGGGAGGCTCCGCTCACTTCAGAGGCACAGTGCTTACAAAGGGACCCCGGAGGCAGTCAGAAGGAAAGAGGATGGTCAGACCCCCACATACAAGTGCTAATTATCAGCCCGTGAACACTCTTAAGCCTTATTGTCCTTAAAACAAAGCAAAGGGAACTAATTCTTGACCTTCCATACCTCGGTGGCTCCTGTGACCTTTAGCCTTTCACAGCCCCTGACATCAGACAGTAATGTGCAAAGGACAAGAGCACAAACAAGGAGTACAGGGGTGGGCTGAGGGTCACCAGAGAATACTGAAGACCCCTCCCTGCTAACCAAAAGCTTCCTAATCCCACAGCATTCTCAAGTTCAATCAATTCTTAATTAAACCAAGTTGGGAAACATGTCGGTCCTTCTGAGTAGGTTACATTGGAGCGGATTCCCTCTTTCCATTGTGTGCTTTTCTATGTATCTTTTTGAGGCTACGGTCCCTGATCACTTAGGCAGGTGTGACAGAATGGCCCTACCGGTGGGAAGCCTCTGTCCTCCAGAGAGGTGTTGACCACAGCCCACTGCGCTGGCAGGAAGATCCCCGAGTGACTGTTAGACCTTGTACATCTTCAGTCTCTTTGTCTGGGATCACAGCACCTAGAGAACAATTTGTAAGAGAACAAATGCAGGAAAGAGGAAAATCAACTACTCATGTTCTATAGCTTCTAGCCTATAGCTCTTTCATTTAAAAAAGGTTATCTAGAGCCCTGGGTGTTATACGCAACTAATGAACACTACATCAAAAACTAATGAAGTACTATATGTTGGCTAATTGAACATAATAAAAAAAATTAAATTTAAAAAAAAATTTTTTAAGTTATCTAGGGGCGCCTGGGTGGCTCAGTCGTTAAGAGTCTGCCTTCGGCTCAGGTCGTGATCCCAGGGTCCTGGGATCAAGCCCCGCATCCGACTCCCTGCTCGGCGGGGAGGCTGCTTCTCCCTCTCCCAGTTCCCCTGCTTGTGTTCCCTCTCTCACTGTCTCTCTCTCTCTGTCAAATAAATAAATACATCTTTTAATAAAATAAAATTTAAAATTAAAAAAATATATTTAAAAAGGTTATCAAATAAAAAGTCCACCACTTAGGTCAGTTTGGCAATTCCTTCAAGAGTTAAACTTCGAATTAACAAAGGATCCAGCAATGCCACTTCTAGGTACATACCCCAAAACTGAAAGCAGGGACTCAAACAGGTACCAGTGCACCCACGTTCATTACAGCATTATTCACAAGAGTCAAAAGGAACAAACAACCCAAGTGGCCATCAACAGGTGAATGGATAAACAAAATGTGGTATACTGATACAATGGAATATTGTTCAGCCTTAAGAAGGGACAACATCTTGTCCCATGCTACAACATGGATGGCCTTTGGGGACATTATGCAAAGTGAAAGAAGCCAGACACTAAAGGACAAATATTATATGATTTCACTTATGTGAGGTGTCTAGAATAGTGAAATTTAGAGAGACAGAAAGTAGAATGATGGCTTCCATGAGCTGAAGCAAGGAGGAAAATGGTGAGTTCCGCTCAATGGGTATCGAGTTTCTGTTTGAGGTGATGGCGAAGTTCTGGAATATTCTAGTGATGGCCGCACCATGCCACAAATATACTTAATGCCACTGAATTACACACTTAAAAGCGGTCAAAATGGCAAATTATATGTTATGTCTGTCTTACCGTAATCATAATTTTTAATAAAGATTCTGTAGAATGCTAGTGTGTGGACACAGGAAGCAACTTTTAAAAGAAAGAGCCATCAGCAGTTGGCGGTATTTGAAGACACGCCATGCTGGTGGACGTGCGGGTGGGCGCCCAGCCTTCCTGGGAGGCTCCAGCGCCTTGGCCATGGGGAGGCTGCATCAAGGGAAAGCAAACCAGCCCAGGTGGATCTTCTTTTCTGTGCAGGTTCCAGCACAGCCAGTCCCACAGGAGCCCAGCAGGAAAGATTACGAGACCTACCAGCCGTTTCAGAATTCCACGAGAAACTACGACGAGTCCTTCTTCGAGGACCAGGTCCACCATCGCCCTCCCGCCAGTGAGTACACCATGCACCTGGGACTCAAGTCCACCGGCAACTATGTCGACTTCTACTCAGCTGCCCGTCCCTACAGTGAACTGAACTATGAAACGAGCCACTACCCGGCCTCCCCCGACTCCTGGGTGTGAGGAGTGGGCGGCACGAGGCGCTCCGGGAACAGTGCATGTGCATGCATACCACAAGACATTGCTTTTTTTTTTTCCCCCTGCAAATTTAGTTTGTTAAAGCCTGTTCCGTAGGAAGGCTGTGATAACCAGTAAGGAACTATTAAGAGCTATTTTAGAAAGCTAAATGAACCGAACGTTAACTTGGAAGTCAATAGGAAGCTGAAGTGATCCTGAATATGACATTGTACAATACCTTTCTAGTTGGAGCTGTGGAGTATAAAAAGTGCTTTATCTTGAATGTGGCGGAAGGCAGCAGAGGAGACAGGCGGGGTGGTGGGGCGTGAAGGTTACCGTTAAGCACAAGGGGCGGTGTAGTGCACACACTTTAGAGGGACGGCTTCTCACGCTTTGTTTACTCTCTTCATCCGTTGTGATTCTAGGCTTCAAGTTGCATTGGGGTTCCTCTGTACAGCAAGATGTTTCTTGCCTTTTGTTAATGCATTGTTGTAAAGTATTTGATGTACATTACAGATTAAAGAAGAAAAGCGCATTGTGTATATTACACCATGCGGCAGTGTTTCCTCATCTATGGTTCTAAATATTGCTTCAATTTCAAACTTTTGAAAGATGTATGGATTTCCAGTTTTTCTTTTCTTTTCTTTCTCCCAGTATGTTTTAACAAAAAAAAAATGGGAAAAAAAGGAATATTTAGCAGTATTGTTCGTTCTGATATGTGAATTTGTTTGTGGCAACTAAGCAAGGCATTCAGCAGTTTCTGACAATTAACATACATCATTCCACACTCCTTGTCAACAAAGTGCTTTTTCACTGCCTAAAATTTTAGATGTAGATATTTGAAATAGATTTTTTCATTTATACCAGTTTTCTTTATGATGATACAGTGTTAAAAGAAAATAAATTACAATTGATCCGTCATCCATATTTGCTAAGAATGTCTATTTCCAAGGACCCATCTTACAAAATACACATTCTTGCCTGTGTGTCTGTGCGTGTGTGGGTGTGTGTATGTCCACGTATGTATAAAAATGACCTGTGTGAGATTTTATTTTGATAGAAGCTATTTCATTTGCTGTTCATCTTGTACAAGCTTTGTTTCTGGTTTTTGGTATAAATGTACATCAGTTTGTTCCTCTTGTACTCCATCTATCCTTCTGACCATCTAGTGACTCAGGATATTAGGCCAGTTGAAGTGAAGTTATAGGATTTTCACACATTCACACATTCTTGGATACCGCCTCTTTCTACAGGTCCATTTCCTTCCATGTTTTATGCCCTCAGAACACAATAAACCATGGCCAACTCAATAATTTCACTTTGGGGCCAATTACTTGAAGTATCAACGGAAAATGTAAACTGCTCGCCTTATTACCCCCAAACTTTTTGTTCATGTGGCAGGGAGCAGTGGACCATTATGGATTAGATTATTAAAATTGAACTTGAAGCTAATGTTAGAATAGTGGTTAACAGAGCTAAGAAATAAGGCTAACCATTTAAAAGAACACGGGCTGTGGGTAAATTAGCTTTGCTCTTTAGATGCAAGTGACTGAGGCCAATAGGTGCCTAAGTAAATGTTAACTGTTCTTGGAAAAAATAAAAATTAAATAACAAAAGAAATTGGCTGCCATCTTCCTTTAAAACTTGCTCCCCTCTACGCTACATAGTTTAATTCAGATCAAAGTCCCAAATCAGCGATTCCTTCTCCAAATTTAGCAACCATCAAAAGAGTTTTTGTTCGTGCATATTTTTGCAAACGAAAAGCTAATTTCCCGAATAGAGCAGGAGACAGAAATTTGCATATGAATTGTCCTACAAATTACCTGCAAGCTGGACCTTGTTGCACTGTTTACTCCAGGACTCCACATTTGTGGCTTCCCTCACAGGCATGCTCCAGCCCCTGTGGAGAGAGAGAAATCTACAGCACTGAGAACAATGTATCCACTTCATCTGTGTCATAGAAGGAACTAGTGAAGTTCATCCAGGCAGATAAGACTTAAGCATAACCTAGTAGCTAGTTGAACTTGTCCAAAAGTAAACAATGCGACTCCTTCCTGGCTGGATTGTGCCTGAGGGAATTCCTGCATGTGCTAAAAAGGCTTCCTGGCGGGAATTTCATATTTCCTGGATGCTTTTGAGTCCGTGCATTGCCTGCTTTTGTGACCTGGGAAGACCAAGGATACCTCTACTGCCTGGGATTCTTTGACAGCACGTTGTGTGGGGCTGGGATGACCAGTTCAGCCGGGGGCCTCTGGCTTCAGACACAGAGGTAGGAAGAAGAAAATTAAAAGTGTTTGCTGTTATTCAAAGCAATCCTTTTCCTCTTTTCATACACATACACACACACACACACTCATATACACAAGTAAATTAGGAGAGAGTGAGAAGTGATTGATAGATGATAGAGGATATAGATGAGAGGTATAGACGGGTGCTAGACAAATAGATGAGATTTTACATAAACCATGAAATGACCTAAAGCGCCCACAGGCTCCCTTGGCAGTAAAGATTGACAGCTGGTGATTTGTTATTCATAACAAGGGCTGTATTGGATAAAAGCCCCCAGTGGCAAGAAACCTTTGTTTGTTTTTGCTTTCATTGTACTGAAGTGACCCAAGTCGGACACCCCCACCACACCACTGGCCCCCTGCAAATAGTTGCCTCTTGGGTCTACAAGAGCCTCCAGATCTTGGATTATCTACTGAGATGGAAATGGTGTTTTTCAGAGCAAAGGAGGGAAGAAAAGAAACTAGAAAATTTTTTTCTCTCAATCCCTGTAGTGGACCATGTACATACGTACACCCAATGCATTTAATAAGTTGTAAAACCTGGACGTTATGTATGAAAAACAGACCAATTTTTTTTCACTTGAGTTTTGATCACCAGAGACTAATGAAGGAAATACTTAAATTATACCACCTTGAATGATATTAATATTTAAAAATAAGATCTTTTAATACTGATTCAGGTTTCATGCCACACATTAATGCTTTAATCCAAATTCCCAATTATGAGTTAGACAATAAAATATCAAACAGGTTTGTAAGAAATAGAGAGACATAGATGTCACGTCACACTTGGTGCTAACTAAGTGAACATTAACCACTGAGGACCCATTTCATCTTAGCAAGATTCACATGTTACGGAAAACTGCTGTTTAAAAAAAAAAAAAGGCAGTGTTAAATTCAGTAGCAAAATTTCAATTTATTTGGTTTGTTTGTTCCGCTTACTTCAGCTCCTCTTTAGGGCCTGATACTATCCCCCCATCCTTGAGAACTGTGCCCCTGAAAGTGAGATTTGGCTGTCTGCAGACACTGAGGATTTTGTCCAACTTTGAGAACCAATTTCCTTCCCGCCTGGTGATTCTGTCCCTTCAAAGGGTAAGTGGCACATCTCAGGTCGGGATCTTCATTAAAGTGCACTGGTCTCCGTTCTTGGAGAGAGCTCGTTGGAAAACCTCCTCTCGAGGCAAGGCAACATACTCTTTTGTAACCTGTAAACAGGAAGAAGGATCTAGGATGTGGGGACAGTCCTTGGCCTTACAAAGTTGAGAGACCAAGACCTCCAGTTACTTACAAACAACAACAGCAACACTCCAAAGCAATGAGCCCATGTTCTTCTTCAAACCGGAGAACTAATACAAATAGCCAGTTCAGGTCTAGCAAGGCAAGCCCTTGACCTCAGTGTCTCCCATCAGTTCAATAACAAACCACCAGGCTACACCTGCTCTCTCCTCAGCCATAGAGGAGGAGGTAGCTAAAAATGCAAACAAACAAAGCACACGAGGAAATGGGGAAAGTGGGATTTTAAGTCAAGAGTTTGATCCTCAGTTAAGACAATGGAATTCTTGACATGAACTCCAACAATGGCCACATTAGCATCACACATTTAACATTTTTTCACAATATTTCATTGCTTGGTCCCTCGATAAAATAGAGACAAAAGCTTTGATAACATCCCTGGTACTCTACTAGAACGTGCATCCATAAGAGGGACGTTACCCCAGGTGGTGCTGACAGCCATCAAGAGAGATGATAGAAGATATGCATCGTGCTCCAGAGCTGTTTCTCCACCAATACTCTATTGATGTTTGGGGCTGAATAATTCTGTGGGGGAAAGGGTGAGATGCAGGGTAGGATACTTATCAGCATTTCTGGCCTCTACCCACTGGAGGCCTATAGCACCACCACCTGCAGTTGGGATGATCAAAACTGTCTCCAGATATTGCCAGATCAGCCCCAGTTAGAAGCACTACTCTAGTGCAATGTACAAGGTGCTAGCCACAACTGAGCACAAGGAAGGAACAAGATGCACTCCCAGCTGCGTGACCAGAGAACACCACACAAAGGAGTTGGTGTTTGGCTAGAACCTAAAGAATGGATAGGCTTCTGATGACTGATAATGGAGGCATTTCTGGAAAAACAGGAATGAGAAAGATGTGGGAAGTATAGGGAATGGACAGGGCACAACATGCAACAAAATTAATTCTAAAATGAACGGAGAAAGCATGGAGAGAGAAAGAAGTCAGGCTACAAGCAAAGTTGAGGCTCTTGAAAGCCATATTACAGAAACACTAAAGATTTTTCACAGCATCTTTATAGACATTCCGGGGGTGTATGGTGGTTGTAAAGGTAAGGTCTAGATCAGTGGTTCTCACACCATGCATCAGAATCACCCGGAGCACATCGCCTGAACAACATGTTCAGACATTCAGTGTATGTTTGGATAGGGCTGGGACTGGCCATGAATTTTCATTTCTAACAAGTTCCCAAGTTGATGTTGTTACTTGTCTGGGGACTATACTTTGAGAACCTCTGGTCTAGAAAGAGATCACCTCTGCAATGACTAGAATAATCTAGAACCTTGTTACTCAAGGGATAATCAGGAAGACTGGCAGCATCAACGCCACCTAGAAGCATATCAGAAATGTCCCACTCTATCCTTCCTCATCAGAATCTGCATTTTCATGAAATCTCTGGGTGATTCTTAAGAACACTGAAGTTTGAGAACAATGATCCAGAAAACATAAGAATCTGAGCTAGGAGAATGGCAGATAAAATGAACAAAACTAAGATGAAATGTTGCAGATGTAAAATCCACAGCACTTGAGGAACCCAGTAATGGAGTGATGGAGGAACCCAGTGATCCCTCAAAGATGGGCGCTTGGGTGACCAGAAGCCCAGCAATGATAACCCACTGGTAAGAAGGAAGAAAGATCTTTCTGTCAAGGAAAATCCACTCCATTTTGGACATGTTACAGAGGTTGATGGTAGATCCAGGGAGAATATTGCTGCAGGCAGTGGAAATGCAACCAGGACTCTGAACTAGAGGTGCAGAATTAGGCATCAACTATTTGGGATGGAGAGGTGGGAAGTGGCATGGATAGAGCATCCATAGAAAGGGGGATAGAGAGAGGCAACCATCCTAGGGATGGTGAAGGCTCACAGGCAACCAGCGTGATACAGAAGGACACAACAGCATATTGGAGGTGAGGTTTGGGGAGAACAAGACCAGTGCACTGTTGTCAATATCAGGGAGAATCTCATATGAAGAGAGGGGTAAGCACAGAGAATAATAAGCAGGAAGACAACTAAGAAGAAGCCTTTGAGTATGGTAATTCGGAGACCATGCAGGGCCTCAGTGGGTCATTCCAATAGCAGGTTAGGGAGAGTGAATAGCAGGGGAGGGGGCAGAGGCCTGAGAAGCTTAGCCATGAGCTATTGATTATGATGAACCTCTGGCCTGAGATAGTCACAAATAGAATAAAGGATTATTTTAGGGCAGCACAGGAAACTTGTAAAGCAAGGGCCCCTGCTCAGACAAATGGTTTAAAAACAAACCCTTCTGTGTGTGCAGCATTTTCTTGCTTTCACTGTGTTTTAATGGTCATTCTGCTTGTCCTCCTCACTACCAGGTAGGTTCTTATTACAACCCACCCTGTCTTTGAGAGGAGGGGAGTAAGATGCAGTGATACCACGTAGCTAGCAAATTTTACTGTTGGACATAAAATTGAAGCTTGGCAACTGTAGACCATAATACCAGGATACCTCTTTCAGGGAAGGTGATCTTCCAGCAGTGGCTTCAGATAGGATCGGGAGTCCATAAAGCAAAGGGGCCATGGGGAGAGGAAAGCCTGATTCCCCGGGATCCACCCTTTACTCAGCACCAGTCCCACCATGTCTCAGGCAGTGGGACTACAAGTTACGAGGGGAAGGGTGTCTGTCTGCTGATCCCAGAGTCTGTTTGTTCACCATACATCCTATACAACCAGTGCCTACCATGTCAGTTACTGCTGCCATTGATTTCACTTCCGGATGTTCATCCTTAATACCCCACCCACCTCCATCTGCCCCAGGCTATTTATTCTCATGTCTCATTTGCCCAACCTGCCCTAAGCCTGACCTTCGTGGAGCCAACAAGATGCCTTTTTTTCAGAAATTCCAGTTTGGGAGTATGTTCACTCCATGACCACGGCCTCCCTTAGTGACCAGCTCAACAGAGAAACCTGGTGTCCATTTCCAAACGGCCATGTGTCTTCATGTCCTCATACTAAAGAGCAGACAGCTATGAGATGACCACACAGTGAAGTCACAGAGCAGAGGAAAGTGAACTGGCCTTTATGGGAATTAAACCCAAATCACTGGCCATGTGAAAAGTGAATTTGAACTACATGAGCTAACGTGTCATCAAAAGAAAAATTACCACAATACCACTGACTGTGTGTATATGTGACTCACTCTTAATTACGAAGGAAGGAGTTGAAAATCACACACAGAACAATTGAACAATTGAACTAAACCACTCCAAAATTTAGTGGTTTTTTAAAAAGAGAGAAGGATTTATTTTGTTCAAGAATTTGCAGTCTGGCCTGGGTTCCATGAAGACAGCTCAGCTCCATCC